CATCCACAGCCTGACCATTAACCAATTGAGCTGCCGGTCATGTGGAGTCCTGACCCTGAGGTGCTGCAGTGGGACAGGATTGTGCTGATGTACTCTCTCGCCCCCAGGTGTTCCACGACGACGCGGTGGTCCCGGGCTGGGAGGGGAAGATCGTGGCCTGGGTGGAGGAAGACCATGGCGAGGACAGGCAGTCTTGGTGGCAGGGGGACCCGACCAAAGAGTGACTGTGCTGCCGGAGCACCACGATGTCCCCCCTTCCTCCACCCTCCTCCTCCTCGAGCCCAGTAGGCCGCAGGGGAGGTCCTGCACACCTCCCATTCCACAATCCCGCGGGCTGAGGGGAAGTGGGCACTGGTGTGGCCCCATGAGCCCGCGCTCGAGTGGCCGGAGCGGACAGCTGTGGTCAGGCTTGTCCAATGTGTTAGCAGTGGGAAGGAGCTCCAGCCGGAGAGGCGCTGTGCAGATTTGCTAAAGGGTCCCACCCCCCCGCCCGAGCCCGAGCCCGAGCCCTCTGTGACAGTCGATGTCTCGCGCTCTCAGATGCTGCAGGATGTGGCTCGTCACACCCCGCCGACGTCGGGGACCCCTCTCCAGGTTCTTCAAGACCCTGCGCCTCTCTGCTGTGTCTGACGTCCATCCCAGCCTGGCGTGGTGATGGGAATTCACTGGAAACTGCCGGGACCTCCTTCCCACCTGAGGAGGGCGGATAATGGCGTTCAGGCCCAGACATTTTGTACGCCTGGGCCTGAACTTGCTCAGGAAGGGATGTGGTCGAACTCATATGCCTTCAGCAGGCTGGCCTTCTGGGACTCCGCTGTGCTGCAGTGTACAGACTTGACTGACCTGCTAAACGTTGTGCCAAATGATGTGAAGACTGCACACAGAATCCAGTAAGGGCGCACACTGCATCCACACAGCAGCAGCGCTGTCTCTGTCCTCCTCCCACCCCTGCGGCCCCTCCTGCTGCACAGAGCTGGGGCCTCAAAGTCAGCTTTCAGCCAAAGACCACACGACATGCTCCCTGCAATAGGAAAGACGGCCAACATTCCTGACTGTGCTTCTGCACGAGCTTAGACAAGGAGAAGCTTAGGAACTGCCTGGAATATTAGTTCAGCCAGGGGAATGAGACTCCGATTGCATTGCACTCTACTCCACTCCAGGATTTGTGGCTCCACCTCAGACATGCAGTATGTAGTACCTGTACACTTTTACTATTGCTATCTTATTTTTAGAACGATTTACACATAAACACACTGCACATGCAGAATAAGATCAGATACAGTTTAATAGTTCAACTTTATGATGATGTAATTACTTTATTATTGTTTCACTGTTTCATCACCAGTTTGTTTGAGAGCCGGGGTGTGGCAAAACCAGAAGTGGATCAAACTGCTGTGCAATCCGTCTTTTTTGATTGAATCGGAGAGCTTTGAGGACTCTTCCGGGCCAAGACTCAGTAGTATCATTTCTGTACTGAGAGCTCTTTTTTTAGGTACTTTGTTAATAAATACAGGTAAATTGCAGAGAGAGGAGGAGAGCTGGCAGTGATGTTGCATTGAGTGAAGGCTAGACGACCAGTCAGCACTGTCAACAGTTGGGCTGAGACCAGCCTGTTTGTGTCCTGTTGGAGCCCGTGGGAGATGTCAGGCCTTGAGTGTGGAATGTTGTACACAGAGGAGTTTCGAGCTTGTTCACACTGAACTCCAGTGGGCTGGAGCGGGTTGCTGAATTATTTTCTCAGTCCACAAGCACCTTTGCCTAATGTGACACACTGATGAAGTTCACACCTGTCATGCTTGCTCACGCAGGACCTGCTGTATTGACAAATGGCCGTGTTCCCGTAGAAACTAATGGAGAATCGATGGGTGTGTTTTCAGTCAGAGTGTTATTGTGCCCTAAACAAGCTGAAGGTGCTTTTGTCGCTCCAGCTGTGTCCAGCATCTCAGTGAGGTGGACAGTATGGGCAGTGGCCCGGTGCCTTGTGCTGCCCTGTTTGGAGTTTGCGTGTGAATGCGCCGGGAGTGAGCTGGCGCGGTTGACCAGGTGCCCGTGACTTGTGTGTCCGTGACTTCCGCCACTCTTCGGTGGGCAAGAGCGAAGGGCAGGAGGGAGCTGGGCAAGACTGGCCTGAGATATCCCTTGCGGAGAGTTGGTTTGAAAGGCTGTCTCTACTGTTTCAGTGTGGCGTCAATGAATCCCATTTCTAATGGTGTTTGTAAATCTAGTTTTATACGTTGTGAATTAATTGCACAAAGGTGTTTTTCTACATGTGTGTGAACTGGTACTGGAACCGGTGTCTCTGTATTTCGTTCACTGGGCCGCTCTGATACTCTGCGGCTGCTGTCTGTGTGAATTTCTCACTCGCTGTCTCCTCTGGCTGAGCAGTTTGAGGATAGGACTGGTCCTGTCTGCCCCCCAAAACCACAACTTTCCTGACATCATGGGGGAAACTGGGTCACACTTGGGGTGTGACATGACACAACCTTGAACCCACGACCTCTGTATCATAGAGCTCAGCATGAGCCTTTCCTTCTCAGCCCCTCGGAAACCCCTTGTGCGCTGCTCTGAGGCAGTTTGAGGTATGGTTTGAATGAGCCACAAGCACGCAAAAAAGCCATAGAGAAAAATGCTGTGGAGAGGGGAGAACTGAGATCCCTCCCTCACTCCCCCTCTGGACTGCAGTCTGTCCGAGGGCTGGGGGCTCACAGTGACACCCACTGGGTGCCTCCCAGTTTGCACAGACGCTCTTCCCCCATCTAGCTGGGACAGATCTGGAGTCCCTTAAAGAGGCTCAGCCAGGAGGGAGGTTTGTGACTAAAAACAGTTTAAAACTTGTGCAGAATATGTTTCTGCTCCGCAGCTGGGAGAGCAGGGGACCAAGCTTAACCTGAACTTTATTCACTTGTGTTCAATGGAAACAAAAACTTTTGTACTGTTTTCAAGCAGCTCTCTTTTCTCACAGTTTTTATATGTTTTTTGTTTTGTTTTGTAAAGGACTGGCTCGCCCCTGTTTGATGCAGACCGTGACTATGTTTTTAAACTGTTTTAATCCCTGATCAGTTTTTTAATCCCTGATCAATTTACTGGTTCACCATGAAAGGCAGGTGCAGGCTGCACCTTGCAGGATTGGCCTTTGAAAACAGGGCTTGTTTCAGGTTCCTACTGCTGTATCAGCGCCCTTGTTCCAGCCCTGCCTTCCTCAACAGTCGCTGTGCTCAGACCCTTGCGCTGTTCAAGAAGGGAGCTGCATGACAGGGACCGAGTCTCCCAGTCCCTTCCCCTCATGCTCAGCGCTTAGTGCTCAGATGGCTGCTGCTGGCTTCAGTGTTTTGTCTTTCTCAGTGCCACGCGTATTATCTGGAGCTGCGTCAGCATGCGGAGACTGCAAAGGAACACATTAAAGGTTAATTCCAGGCTGAAGAAGAGAGGAAAGGAATCACGTTTCGGCTGTGGAGCCTCACGCCCGAAGAAGGCTCCACAGCCGAAACGTTGTGATTCCTTTCTTCTCTTCTTCAGCAGGGAATAAACCTTTTACATATGATCTGATATTTCACTACCAGAATTATTTTTGTGTCTCTGTAAGCAGAGCAGACTTTTGTGATAACTGTGAGCTGAAGTTTACATCACAAAGATTGAAAAGCACTGACATGGGGTGATATTCCTTCTCCATTGCAGGTTGAGTTAGGACAGTGCTTCGGGACCATAAGCTGTACCGGCTTTCTTGTCTGGTTAAAATCAGACAAATTCGCAAGACAAAAGATGTGCCGATTCCTGGGTTACATCCAGATAGCCTGTTGAATTGATCAGTAACTTCAAAGCTGTAGAGCTGGGTGATACAATTTGCTGGATCAGTGCTATCTGTTTCCGTGGGACTGGGGTTTTCTCACTGCTATATGTGTCTGTGAAGAGCTCCAGATACAGGCAGCAATGCACAGCTACTGGACTGGCTGTGGTGACATCACTAAAGCCCTGCTTGTTCACGCCTGGGGGTCACTGTGCGCGACGGTCACTACTGGGGCCAGAGAGGACCAGTCTGTCCTGGCGCTGGCAGAGCTCATGCAGAGTGTGTTCAGGAGTCATGTAACTTGACTATCATTCCCCTCTGTGTCAGACCACAGACAGTGACAATAAACAAATCAATAAACCACTCTCTCTGTTTTCATAAATCATCTCTCCTGTTGAAAGGGGGTCTGTGGCTGTCTGATTTTACACATCCCTGCAACTCCTAAAAGTTGCTAAGTTGTTTTTTTTCCCTTGCTGTATTTCCTCACTTACTCTATGAACATTAGAGCTTCTGCTTCAGGACCTGCAGGCCTGACTCCTCAGGCCAGATCCCAGCTGTACTATGCCTGCTCCTGCATGCTATCTCCTGGGTTTCGCTGTCATTCTCATCTCAGTGCCAGGCCTGATGCCACCTATGATCCTGGAGTATCCTGACAAGGAGGTGTGAAGTAGAGAGGCAGAACATCAGTGCATGTTTTTTAAAAACGGGCCTGTCTGGTCCCTCTGGCCTGAGTGCTCACAGCCTGCGTTGCACGGTTGGTTTCTGTAGAAACGCCCCCCTGCTGTCACTGTGTTTCAGAAGAGCCGCGAACGAGGCGTACACTGCACTGCTCGCTGGCACAAGTCTCGATTCGAACCTGCTGCTTCACACGCCCAGCAGAACCGCAGGCAGATACCCGGGACACTGACGTTTCACAAGACGCCTGCTTCGAGAATCAGTCCGATACATCATAAGAAACCAAGACACACTGTTATTGTTCAGCTTATTCTGCAAAAGTTCCTTAATTTTTACTTCACTGACGATATTTCATGGCAACTTCTAAAGGAAGTTAAAGGTGCTTCCCAGGCCACTTCACACAGTTTATACAGCGGTGTCTGCGCGCCCCCTGGAGGCGACAGGTGGAACTACTGCTGTTCTGTCACTCGTGGACATTCAGTTGAGCCGGATGCTCTGCAACAGAGTCTCGGTATTGCCTGCAGGGCCTCAGTGTTTCCGGTTTTACTTGCTTAAAATCAAAGCGTATGTTGGTTCTTTATAAACAGCATCTACCCTCTATTAAGGAAGAAGACAAATCCTCGACAACTCGAGAACATGTAAACTCGCAAAAGGTGCCCCCGACCGGAATCGAACCCAGGTCACGCCGCAATGTTCGAGAACATTTCTGTGTTGTTTCACCTTGTATCTAGATCAGCTACACGTGCGATATAAGCTGCCTTATCAATAGGTTATAGAATACATAGAAGATACTTTTTATTCATGCTATCATGCAAAATCACGCAATTTTGAATTGACAGTTTTCAATCGATGTATGCCTGCTCACTGGTTTAGGTTCTTTTCAAAACCACAACGCAAGAAAAAGAGAACGCGGAGGGGATCTGTTCTACATCTTTAGTTACTGGTAGAGCTACTGAGCTCTACCAAGACCGATATTTTAAAACAACAATATCAGAGAAACACAGTAGGGTAGTTATTAGCTAATGTATTTCAACAGGACGTCGAGGTCAGAGTCGCAAAAGCTGAGTCCTATAAAAAGCGACACCACCCCCTCCCGGCTGTGCAGAGGCAGAGACGCGCTGCTTGACGACAGCGTAGCTTTACGACCTCACACGACACTGGTGGGCGGAGCCTAGGTGCTGCGGGTAAGCCGTAAAGCGAGATGTTTTGAGACGGGGAGGTCATTGGAAAGTGAGGGAGGGACTCTCGTTATAAACTGGGGGACACCGGAGCGGCATTAAGGCTGTCGGCTCTGAAGCATTAAAAGGCCAGCTCTTCTGCAGAGTGGGGAACTTCTTGGTGTTGCGCCGTTAAGCGAGCAGCTCGGAATGTTGCGTTGGGCGGTGCGGTTGCGGCAGTCGGTGCGGGTCCCCCGCTTCGGCCCCGGCTCGGCCCCCGGGATGAGCTCCCGGCCGGGGTCCTGCCGTCTCAGGAGGTACCACTCCGGAGGTTCGGCCCGGGTCCGGCCCGTGTGCTACGCCACCGCGGTTACCTGCGGCAGGGGCGGGTTTCTGCAGAGTTACCTGTCCGCACGGAGCTGCCAAGGCAAGCGGCTGTACAGCCTGCCGCCCCACCAGAAGGTAAGGCTTCTCCCAGACGGGCTTGACGGTTTCCTGCTCGCCCACCTGGGCGGGCGTGTGCATCTTTATAGAGGCTTCTGTATAGAGCCCCCAAACTGTGTGGTGCAGCGTTAGGAATGGACAAAATGGCGCTGTGTAGGCTGCCAAACAAGTCTAAACTTTCTTTCACAGAGACATAAATGTTCCACCTTTCCAGTGCTTGGCACGAATTGCGCCACGGTGCTAAGTCGGGGTAACTGCTTAGCAACGCTAACGGCAGGCTTTCCTGTCCCGAGTGTTTCTGCTCCGCGCTGCGCGGCCGGCTGTCCGTGTCACCTTGCAGCTTGAGGCCGCTGGGCTCCGGGCCGGGCCGTAGCTCCTCTCCGAGAGCTGACCTTTCTCACGGGGCATTCTCTCCAGTGTGAGCTTCTCTTTCCCTGCGGTTCAGGCTCATAAACGGCTTGTTTCAGGTGTCCCTTTAGGTCACCTGAGAGAGAGGCTCCGAGGTTTGCTTCTGATGATCAGCTGTTCAGTGTTCAGTGCCCGTCTAGCTCATGTGGTTTTTCGGTAGCTCATATCTTCTGGGGATCTCATCCAGACTTGTCTTGGATGATGCCGGAGTATTCGCCTCAATGACTTGGCTTTGCAGTTGTTCCGGACTTCCAGTAACGCATGTTTTCTGCTTTGATCCTCAAATAAGTGCACACCTGTCCTGTCCTGTCCTCCTTGACAGCTGGGATTGTTACAGAAGTCTGTTGATGTGAAGCCCCTTCCCTCTGTACAGCAGCAGTACCTCAGTGGGGATTCGAACCCACAGCTTGCCCTGACTGCTCCTCCACACTGCTCCCCTGCCTTAGTCTTGGCATCCCTGTGTGTGGAGAGCAGGCGTCCTGGACCTGACTGTGCATGCCCCTGGCTCCTATTGGACAGGGCTGTGGGCGTGTCCTGCACTGTGCTCTGCCATTTCTTCTCTTTTCAGCATGGAATAAACCTTTAACTTGTTCCTTTGCATTAAAATAAAATGGCCCAATTTCCCAAAATAAATCGCTCAGCAGTATGGGACACAAATGAGCAGGGTGTTGAAGAGAGCAGCCTTGCGGTTTTCGATGCAGAGGTTGAATGCGCGCTTTAACAGTAAGTGCGCCTGTGCGAGGAGGAGGAGGAGGTCTCTGTGTCACGGTGTGGTTTGGCTCTGTGCAGGTGGTGCTGCCCGCACTCTCCCCCACAATGCAGAATGGCACCATCGCTCGCTGGGAGAAGAAAGAGGGGGACAAGATCAGCGAGGGGGACCTGATCGCCGAGGTGAGGGTGCAGGACTGCTCCTGTGTCCCGTGGCTGCACAGTGCTGGCCCACAATTAGAGCCGTCGGCCATGCTGTCTCGTCTGTATTTCTCCCTTCATCTCTCTCCTTTCTCACACCTGCCTCGCCCTGGTCTCGCGTGCTCTAACCCCACACTCGCTCTCTCGCCAGGTGGAGACAGACAAGGCCACGGTGGGCTTTGAGATTCTGGAGGAGTGTTACTTGGCGAAGATCCTGGTGGCAGAGGGAACCAGGGACGTGCCCATTGGTGCCGTCATCTGTATAACTGTGGAGAGGTAAACTTCCCGTTTCCGCTTTCCTGTCTTGGATCAGGCAGCGAAGAACTATCGTAGCCTTTAAAATAGCTGGGAAGAAAAGCCCGATGTCTAATCCTGCAGTTTTCAGGACTCTATCGCTTCTCAGACACTGCTGTTAATGGGCAGACAAGACAGGTTTGCAGAGAATTTGGAAACGGTCTGTAACTGATGTTGAGTGGCGTCTGCGAAGCACTGCAGGAGTTTGGGTTGCAAGCAGAGTTGCTGAGCTTTTAGGCGAGCGATTGTGGATTTTAGTTGAGTGCCCAGCGCTGGTCCTGCTGTTCTGAGTGTCCCCAGGAAGGGCTCTGGGCAGAAGCAGTAGCTGGTCTGTGGGGCTGCCTGCCTGCCTGCCTGCTTGCTGTGTTTGTGGGCAGCCTGTGTCTGACATGCTGTTGCTCATTCTGCCCTCCCTGCAGCCCTGACCTCGTCCCTGCCTTCAAAGACTACACTCTGGACATGGCATCTGCACCCCCCAGCCCAGCAGCAACAGCGGCGGTGGCGGCCCCTCCCCCCCCTGCCGCGGCCCCCCCACAGCCGCCCGGCAGCTCCTACCCCCCGCACATGAAGGTAGGAGCATCGCCTGGCTGGTGCAGCAGCGGTGATGCCTTTACCGCGAGCGACGCGGCAGGAGAGCGAGTTCAGGAGACTCCCCTCTCCAGTACAGAAGTGGAAGTTAAATACTTCATCGCGGGCCCCCACTTTCTGAGAGTGTCCACTAAGCTTCCTTTTATAAAGGATGCTTGGCGGTGCTTTGCGTTTTTAGATGCTTGACACCCTTATAATGCTGGTGATGACAAAGCACCTTATGAAGGAACTGGAACTGAACTTCCTGTTTCTGTGCCCCCTGACGTTGCCTGGGTGTGCTGTGCCCCTGCCAGGTCCTGCTGCCAGCTCTTTCGCCCACCATGACCATGGGCACCGTGCAGCGCTGGGAGAAGAAGGTGGGCGAGAAGCTGAGTGAGGGGGACCTGCTGGCTGAGATCGAGACGGACAAGGCCACCATCGGTGAGGCCGCTGGGCGCCCACGCCGACATCGACGCGCTGCCGGGGCCTGGGCACAGCACTGACCCTTCGAGGAGTCTTAGACTCCTGAATCAAAGAGGCTCCATTCAGTACTGCGGTACAGCTGTGTGTCAAATCGGCTCCGTCGTGTGCTGACTCTGCCCTGCCTGTGCCAATAGAGATTGGTTTAGTTACAGAATCTACAGTCTATTACAAATCTGATATTTGAGTGTCCTCACTTGAAGTCCCTCCCCCCCCCTCCAGTTTAGCTCAGTTTCTGCTTGCAGGAGCCTCAGAGATGGTTAATGAGAGCCACCTTGTGGTTAATTATACATGCACCCTCCTAGAGCTGTAACATGTATCCCTCCTTTCTGATTCTGCTGTGTGTAACCCTCCCCCAGGGTTCGAGGTGCAGGAGGAGGGTTTCCTGGCAAAGGTGCTGGTCTCGGAGGGTACCAGAGACGTCCCCCTGGGCACCCCTCTGTGCATCATCGTGGAGAAGGAGTCTGACATCGGCGCCTTTGCGGACTACGTGGAGACTGGGGTGGCTGAAATCAAGAGCCCCCCTCCGGCCCCTGCTCCTGCTCCAGCCCCGGTAAGGGAGCCATCAGCCAGCCCAGTCTGTTGGAGTGGGGCTTGACCCTGGTTCAGAAATGGTTGAAATGGTTTAGCGGACTTCAGCTGTGCAGTGGTTCCTGGAGGTAATAGTTCAGCGAGAAATGTAATCCATTGTGAGCAAGATCTGAGTATAAAACTCAGACGGACCCTCGTCCAGTACGGAGGAGTGTATAATGGAAGAGCCACAGTGGAGCAGGTGGCAGTTTCAAATGATCGAACGTCAAACCCACATTTATTAAAGCGGCAGTGGAGAACTGTGGTTCTTGAGAGCTGCAGGTGAAGGGGTTTCCCTTTTAACTCTGGTAATGTCATATGGGAATGTGGGCTGCAGTCCCGAGTTGAGATGCATGTGCAGAAAGAGTAGTTGGGTGAGGACACTGTGCTGTGTTTCAGGTGGCAGCAGTACCCCCCCTGTCCCAGCAATCCATTCCTGCTGCTACACCGGTGCCCCCAGCGGGTGCCAAGGCCTTCGCCAGCCCCCTGGCAAAGAAGCTGGCAGCCGAGAAGGGCATCGACCTGGCGAAGGTCAGAGGTAAGGGAGTGGGAGGGAGAGACACTGTCTGAAGTCTCTGCATCGGTGTGGTGCCGGTTGGTCCCCATACTACAGGAAAGTACAATGTAGTCACTTGCAAGTAGAGTGGTACTTAATCCAAATATATTGGGGGGGGAATCGGGCTTGGGCAGAGAGCAGAGCTTCATGCTAGAAGAAAGAGCCTGATGCAGTAGGGTTGTGTAGGTGGACTTTTTAAAGACAAGTACGTGCCTTGGTTCCCTCTCGTCCCTGCTACCCTGTGTTGGCCAGGTAGAGATGTTTGTGTGTGCAGTACCTTGGTTAAAGCGATTTTCCAGCACTGATACGCCACCGAATGCTCTGTCCCGGCTGGTGTTAACTCTGAATCCACCCGTTTCCGAACGGAATGGTTTTCTGTGACCTCAACCAGGGCGCAGTCGGTACAGAGCCATGGAGAAGACCACGACCGTCTTGTCTTGTTCCAACAGGGTCTGGTCCAGACGGGCGGATCACCAGGAAAGACATCGAGAGCTTCGTGCCTCCCAAGGCTGCGCCGGTAAGTGTGGCCATCCCAGTTTTCCCAGGAGGCGCGTATCGTTGCGGAATGGACAAGAGCCGCGTGCTTTCCCTTGTGCTCCAGAACAGTCGCTCGACAGCTGTCCGAGCCTTCGGGCTCATTTGCACATGGGTATGATACCTGGCCAGGTGGAGACGCAATTTAAAGCTGGAGGTCTTTTGAAGATGAAATCTGCTGCAGTCTGGAGTTGGGGTTGTCGAAAGGGTCTTGGAGCAGAATCGCTCTGTGCACTGGGGTGACGAGCGCGGTCTCCTTCCTCTCGGCAGGCTCCAGCGGCTGCTGTGGCCCCTGTCCCTGGTGCTCCCCCTGCTCCTGCTGTGCCATCTGGGACCTTCACCGACATCCCCATAGGCAACATCCGCAGAGTAAGGATGGAGAAGAAACGAATCTTGGGTTCTAAAATCCAAGTTTGTTTTTTTGTTTTTTTTCCTCCTGTTAGCCAAGTTTAGTCTGTTCCTGACCAGGCTTCTGTGTTCACCTGCAGGTGATTGCCCAGAGGCTGATGCAGTCCAAACAGACCATCCCCCACTACTACCTGTCTATAGACATCAACATGGACCAGGTGCTGGAGCTGAGGAAAGAGCTGAATGAGGTGAGAGGTGATTCCGGCTCTTGGATGCACAGCTCGGTACACTCCCTGCAGCCTAGGCATTGAAATCATTCATATGTGACCATTTGCTCTTGTTTACTAAAGAGCTCCCGCCAAGAGGACAGGCAGTGTTTTTAGCAGAGAGGAGTAAGCCTTAAACATGCAAAGGTGCTGAGTGCTTTTGACCCAAGTGCGGTCTTGGGTTTAGGAAAGGCAGACTTCTTGTGCCTGCTGGGTGGAAATTGCTGATATGTCTGTTTCTGCCAGGAGCTGAAGGCTGAGAACATCAAGCTGTCGGTGAATGACTTCATCATCAAGGCCTCGGCCCTGGCTTGTGTGAAGGTGCCCGAGGCCAACTCCTCCTGGATGGACACGGTTATTCGCCAGTGAGTGATCTACTTCTGTCCACACTCTGATGACCCTTTCGGTTTCTGGATCTCCCCATCATGGGAGGTGACAAGCTGGGAGATGAGTATAGTTTCCTGACTAGTTGGTGCTGAATTCGATTCCCATCTTGTTTTCTCGGAAGATTGCCAAGTTTTCCGTGCACGGGCTCTGGGTCTGTGCTCGCATCCACATAAGGCAGGCTGCTTTCCCTCCCAGCACGCTGCTGTGTAACCCCATCTTTCTTCCCCCTGCAGGAACCATGTGGTTGACATGAGCGTCGCTGTCAGCACAGCCAACGGCCTCATCACTCCCATCGTGTTCAATGCCCACATCAAGGGCCTGGCCTCCATCAGCCAGGACGTGGCGGCGCTGGCGGCCCGAGCGAGAGAGGGCAAGCTGCAGCCACATGAGTTCCAGGTGAGAGGGGGGGGGATTGAAAGGGTTGAATTCTGTAGCATCCCTGTAAAAATAGTTTGTTAGGTGTGCAAGTTAATAAGACCACTTATATAGATGCAGAGCCTTCATTCAGAAGTGATTTACCCATTTTATAAAGGCTGCCTTTAGTGCAAGGTGAAGGTGAAATGCACCATGAGTGTCTTTCTCCCTCCTGACATTTCATGACCTGCTATCATGGTCGTGACTGTAAAACAAATGTCTTCCATTTTCAGGGCGGCACCTTCACCATCTCCAACCTGGGCATGTTTGGCATCAAGAACTTCTCCGCCATCATTAACCCTCCCCAGGCCTGCATCCTGGCTGTGGGTGGCTCCGAGAAGCGGCTCCTGCCTGCGGACAACGAGAAAGGGTGAGACTGGATGGGGGAAGGCCCGGCCTTGTGCTGGCCGAGGTGGGAAAGTCACTGGGGGGGTGGACGGGGTGTGGGCTTGTTCCCAGTCTGAAAGAGTGGTGTGAAGTGCTGACTGTTGACTTTGCTGATCTCCAGCCCCTGCCAGTCAGTGGAGAAGCATGATTTACAACATTGATGGAAGGGGAGAACGGTTCATTTCTATAAAACGATGATGCCCCTGTGTTTTGCAGGACTAGTATTTTCTGTACGATTCCCCCTTACTTAGCTTATTTCTCCTCTGTGACTTTGAGTCGACGTACTTGCACAGTGAAGAGCGATGTGTGGGTGTGTGCATGAGGGCTTTTGAACCTCCTGATTTAATACAGATCTTGACATGGGGACAAATATGTATTGATGATAAGCTCCAAGGTTAGGGTTAGCTTTCCTTCTAAACTTGGGTCTCCAGTTAGATTTTTCTTCCACACTCATTCCCAAGCCTTCGAAGACATTTTTAAAGAGATGCTGGGCCTGTGTGTCTGGGGTCGTGTGCAGGTTCGACGTCGCCAACGTGATGGCGGTGACGCTGAGCTGCGACCACAGGGTGGTGGACGGCGCTGTGGGAGCCCAGTGGCTGGCGGAGTTCAGGAAGTTCGTGGAGAAGCCCGTCACCATGCTGCTGTAACCTTCCAGGGTGACGGCCCCCCCACCAGGAGGAGGAAACCGACGGGGGCGCAGCTTGTGGGATCAGTGTCTGTCTTCACCCCTCCCCTGTCTGTCCCACCCCTTCACCTGGTCATGATTTACTAAGCTTTTCGACGGCAGGCGCACACAGAAGCACCCAGTCCTGAAACGGGTACCTTTCAGATTTAAAGTACAGCTTTCAGCTCTGGATAGGAATCCTTGTATCCATGTTAGAGGGGGGGGGGGAGGGTTTGAATATATTGGAGCTCCATAAATCACTGGTGGAGAGGGGTGGGAAACCAGTTTCAATACTGGCCTGAACCAGGATCCCCGACCTGTGCTGATGTTTGTCTCTCGTTTTAAATATTTATAAAGGCTGGGAATAAAAAATTGTCTTGGCTACAGCTTCCAAGTTGAAACTACCCTGATGGTGGGGTTACAGTGGGATTTGAGTGCCAAATTCTGCCAAGTGTTAGATGGCAAAGAGGAAAATGCTCATATTTGGTTCTTTTGATTTTTCTCCTCTCCTGTTTCTGTGCTGCCTTCACTGGAAGGTACCTGCTGTGTTAAGCAGGTCTGTCAGGACAGAGCAGAGCCCATCTCTGCAGTTGTCCCCCTGCTCCAACGGGTGGGTTCAGTCTAAATGTCTTATCACCCCACAAGGGCAACAGTCCCTTCCTGACCGCTGATCCCCCTGACCTTGGAAAGCAGTTTCTGTTGAGCTGAGTCTGGAAGTCAGTCTGTTGGTTAGTGTCCTTACAGATGGTACTTTTAGTGTGTGGTGCATTGAAGCAGTAATCCAGGGTTTCCCTCAGTCAAGCTGACTTTTCTTAAAACTGCACTACTTTGTTGCAACACTTCCAGTTTGGACTTCACGTTTGGTGTTGGGGGGTGTGTAGTGGTCCTTCAGTTTTTTGTTCCCTCATCTTTGCTGTGCCTATCTGTTCTCTTTCCATATGGACTTGATGCCTGGATTGGGATTGATCCTATAAGAACCGATTTGGTTTCTCACCCCAGATCTTGCACTGTTACTGCATTGCTTTTATTTAAATGTTTTGAGTGTGAAAGGGGTTTGGAGCGTTTGTCTTCAATTGTTTATAAGACGCACGTTCTCACTGGACCTGGTTAAGCTGCTACAGAGGGACTGAAAGGATGAAAATTTATTCCAGCTCACCTACAGGACTTGCTAACTGTCTATTAATTTAAGTTCAGAGCTTGTGGGATAAACCTTTATCTCTGCTGGGTAACCTAGCTATTTAAAACTGGTCAGGTGTTTAAATAAACTTTATTGGAATTAGTGCTGAATTTTTAATAGCCAGTGTAAACATGGTGGTACAAAGTTTCATGGTGGTCATTGTATCATGAGGAGCAAAAAAGGAGAAGCTTAATAAAATAAGAGAATTCATGGGTAAATTATAAAAGTGTATTTGAATTGAATCCAGAAATGCCTACAAAGCTTGTGCATCCGTTTTGTGGAGAAGGCCGGATTTGTGCATTCTGTGACAAACCTGTGACTTTTCTTCCTGACTTTAACACTCCTTGTAAATTGTCAATGCTAAAACCAACATTTGTGTACCTTGTGACTCGACGGATGCAACATTGTTAAATCCCTGCACAGGACTCATTTTCACACTGCTTTGTTCTGTGAAGGGTGTTCCTCCAAAGCCATCATGCTGTAAAATGTGCATCCAGATCCTGAGAGGCAACACTGCTGTGAGCAGTAATGAGCCTCTGCTGAGGCCTGACCACAGTCTGCAGCCTAGTACCCTTCCCTTGCCCTCTCGTTGTAAATACCTACCTGTACCACACCCCACAGGACAGGCGGGACCTAGCCTTTCTTGCTTCAGCAGCTGGTGTCTAAACATCAAACAACCCAGAATTCCTCCTGCTGTATGTGCGCAATCCATCCCTTCTCTAGACATGGGGGGGGAACAAAGTAATTTGTTCTATAGCTGTATCCTGAAAATACTGGGGTCTGATTACAATGTAGGCTTCCAAGCCTGCTCATAGCATAAATACTGAGGTTTAGTATTTGGCACCTGAACTTCAGTCAGAATAGTACAGCTTATATTAAGCCAGCTGGTTGTAAGATTTATCTGTAAAAAAGTGTGAACTATCCTCTCACCCAGCCTGTCCATCAAATGTACTGTTGATAATTGCACGAATTCTGGACTCTGTGTGATCTCATTGTTTATGCTTTTGTAATCTGATTCAGCCTTAAATTTGGCCTGTTCATATACTGCGCACAATGGGTATTGTAAAATGGAGATTAAAGGTTTTCAATTGGACCAAGCAGCTTCTGTTTTCTTTGTAGAAACTTGGCCCTAAAAGACCAGACTCTTCCCTTTGGAGTGTGCAGTGTTTTTATAGTGGGCATGGTTCAGTCAGATGAAGTTTTACATTTACCCATACAAGATCCCAAGTCTTTCATGCATTTCTGAATGTATGTTTGGCGGGTGTGAGAGACTTAACCATTCCTCCTTTTGACCATATAACACAGGTAGGAGTGGAGTAAACATTTTTGCAGCTTTAGTTCACCACCAAAAGCAAAGATGATACCAATGGGCTTCTTGAATTCTTACGCACAAAAATATACAGATCATAGTATAGGCACAGTCACAGACAGTATACGGGTCTTCTTGCTGAAAGTGGCACTGGCTGCCTCCTCATTCACTGTCTCGGGCAGGTCCAGCTGGAGATGGTACAGATCTTCCACTTCGATCAGCACGTCATCCTAAAACAGAAACTGAAAAGTCATGATGTAGAACAAACTGCTTTCAGCTGCTATTGTTCTGATCTGAAACTCTGTACATACCTAAGCTTACAAATGGGTAATTATTCTGTAATGGAATACCAATAGTAATGTGCTGGTTTGAGGAGTTGCACAAGCAAGTTACCAGAACTGACTGTGACCAGCACTCCCTTAACAGCCCACTGCTGCTGTGAACTTAGTGGTGTAGAGGAAGGGTGGGGACTGGTGCCACGTGCCTGGGAGATACTCAGTTTGCACTCGGAGATGGAGCTGATCCCAGGCAAGTCCACAGTCAGCTGGAGAGTGTGGGGTCTCCCTTCGCCGTCTTGGATAACCGCAAGCTTATAGCGGGGCTCCTGAGGCTGTGCTACTGTCGTCGTACTTGAGAGCTCCTGGATCAGACCACCTTTTGCTGGATTTGTGACTTCCTGAGGGAACAGCTGGCTGCACCCCTTCTCTTCTTCCTTCTCTTTGTTCTGCTGCAGTGCACAGATCTGCTGGAGCAGGGAGCCCCCTTCTTCTGGAAAGAAAGGACAGTCTTCTCCATAGGCTGAACGTGAACTTGGTTTGAGTGCCTTACATCCTACAGTACATCATAACTCGACTGGCGTCCAGCTGTTAATCTAAGGCAGCAGTTTGGCACCAGTGTGGCATATAAGGGTCTCGCTCAACAGCAGGGCCCCAAGGGGACATCTGAGGAGCTAAAGAAGGGCACGAGAGCTTTTTATGTACACCTAAATATGTACTAAATTTTTCTATAAGGCAATGTTTTTTACAGCAATTTATAAGTAGAAAAGTAGGACTCGCTCTCAAATCGCTGCATTGAATTTGCTACTAATCAGCTAAATCTAAACAAAATGTCAAAAATCCTTTTGTCTATGAAGGTCAGTCCTTGCCCAAGAACTGTTTTTGGAATTAAAATCTGACAACTACCCTCTCGGGCATCTTCAGTCAGCTAACTTTGACGCAAGACCGGATTTTCTGTGCTTTCGATGACCAGAAATAAGCACCACAACAGACTCGATGTTGAAAGTGACTTGCATTGTGCCTTATCTTCTACAGAGCTGAGAATTTCAAAACCCGTGACAAATATGCAGCATCAGAGCTCACATTGATAATGTTTGAGACAAGCTCTTAAATTAAATACACCAAAGTTCAAATGTGAATTTGGATCATACGACCTTCAATCTGTCAAGTAACAATTGAAATCAAAACATTTAAAAAAAATGTTTAAATACAATTTTAGCCTGTACACCAAGGGGGGCGGTGAACCACTGTCCTAAGGTGGCCGGAGGAGGAGTGTTAAAATGAGCTCGTTTTCCCTCGATCATCATTCTAGCTCGAGATAATTCTAAAAGCCTCGTATGGTGTGATGAACAATGTATTTAAGTTGGAGCTCTCTACTGTGTATACATTGTGTACTGCAAGACCTATACCAATGTGAGTTGCTGTTCTGGGGTGGGGCTTATGCATGTCTGTATATTTTTAAGTGGTTTCCAGCCAGACTACCCAGCACTAAACCCAGCTGGGCTGCTGGAAAGTGGTGGGTTACCTGGAGCGCTGTGGGCGGAGGTATTGAGAGGTGTGGCCAGGCGGTCTCTCATCCTCTGGGTGGGGCCCTTGATGTTGGCGCTGGTGAGAGTGTAGCAGGGTGAGAGGCGCAGCCCGTGGTTCTGCTCAGCGTACAACAAGGCCAGGCGGAGCAGCTGGTCCCTCTCTTCACCGTCGCCCTCTGCTCTCCGCAGCGTCTCGGGACTGAACGCCACATCGATCACACTGTACACCTCTTTAAGGGATTAAAAAACACACAGGTCCATCCATCCATTTTCGAACCACTTTATCCAATACAGGGGTGCTGAGGGGCCAGAACCTATCCCAAGTAAGCAACAGACACAAGGCAGGGTAATAACATCATCACTTTTAACTATTATCACTATTAACCCTTTACAATTTCTTGCATTAGGAATTATCTTTTTGCATACCCCATCTTGCTCTCCATGAGACACACAGACAGGGAGAGAAGCTGGGGGTCAGAGCGCAGGGTCAGCCATTGTATGGCACCCCTGGAGCAGCTGGGGTGAAGGGCCTTGCTCAGGAGCCCAACGGAGTAGGATTCCTCTGCCGGCTGCGGGATTTGAACCGGCAACCTTCCAGCCACAGGCGCAGACCCTTAGCCACAGAACCACCTCTCCGCCAAAAGCGTCGTTTTTATGCGCCAGCCGGGAATCGAACCCGGGTGGCAAGAATGGGAATCTTGTATGATACCACTACACCACTGGCGTAGACTCGGTATCTTTTTGGGCTGTGGGAGGAAACTGGAGCACCTCGAGGAAACCCCCATGTGAACATGGGGAGAACATACAGACTCCACACACACAGCACCCCTGGTCCGGAAGGGAAACAAAGGCCCCAGCGCTGTAAAGCAGCAATGCTGACCACTGAGCTGCAACACACAGGCTGTTTCTCTTCAAATGCACTTTCAACTAGGATTGACTCATTTGCAAACATGGTGGGTTTGTTTTTCCTTCTGGAATTGAATCGCGAAGCGGCGCGACCAGGGGAGTGGTGGTACCTTTGCCTTCAGCTCCAGTCGCGAGCTTGCTGGCGCACAGCGGGACGGGGCTGGAGTGAGACTCCGGAGTGGGGACCCGCTTCCAGCTGCACACGTTGACATAGAGCACGCCCTCCTCTGGCTCCTGCAGGACACAGCACAGCTTTGAAACAGGGTGTTCTGCACGCACTCACCAGAATATTAGGAATGCAATGACCACCGTGAATACTGCTTATGTGGTTTGAGCTGCTGCTTGCCGAGCCCTCGCACTTCATTGGTATGGCTCTGCAATATTACACCTTGTGGTTGATGATTAAATCATCTCTTTTCTCACCTCTTCCTCACTTTGATCCCCAGGTACATCTGACAGCAAACTGCAATTGGAGCTCTGGGGTTGTACAGTGTTTAAACTGCATTCCTATTATGTAAGGCGATTTCCACCTACTGGGGTGTAAAAAAAGTCTGTACAAGTACTGCAGTGCGCAGACAGGAGTGAGACGGGGGAGTGTGTACCGGTATAGCAGTGTAGAGACAGGAGTGAGACAGGGGGAGAGTGTACCAGTATCTCAGT